GGACATGACTAGAAATCAGTGGTTAAGTTGTATTTACAACACTGTTCCAGAACAGTTCAACCCAAATATTCAGATGTGTCCAGCACATTTTATAGAAGACTGTTTCCTGATCCTGGGAGAATAGACTACAATGCCTGCTGTTCTGACTGAAAGACTGTAAGTACGTTTTTATATTTAAAGGATTTGCCACAGTGTAGAGTAGTGCTTGTTGTTTGTAATTTCTCCGATCACAAACGCAGACATGGTTTTATGTTTACGCGGCGCGATGCAATGCAACACGTAAAAAGACAGTACAAGTCATTATAATCCGTAATTATGTCCCCACTGGATGCAACGAATGCCTCGTTTATAATGGGTTTTCATGTTTTTGTCTCGTCGCTCCGGCTGGGACACGGCATCACAGTATGTGAGGGGCGTAACATTTCCGTCACACGCTTGAGGCATTCGGCCAATCACAACGCACTGGATAGCTGGCCAATCAGAGCACACCTCGCTTTTCAGACCGATGAGCTTTGTAAAAATCGACGCGTTTCAGAAAGGCGGGGCATAGAGGAGAAACAATAATGTACAGTATGTGGAACATAATGTGTTTTTGAACCTTAAACCGCATAAACATTTAATTACACCAAATACACAAAATAATGTTCTTTTTTAGTAACATCATATGACCCCTTTAACACAATTAACGCAGGGGTGGGGCTAGGGTTGGCCACCCCCACAACTGCTGCTTCTGTCACTTTTTCTCTTGACAAGAAGTGCATTTATTCAATCGCTGAACGACTGAGAACGAGAGATGTTTCAGACAGTACTGTGCTCGCAGCGCATGCTCTTCAATCGCACTCACAAAGGCGCCGGCGCATTTGTAGCCTGCATCCTTTAATAAAGCGTGAAATAAACTACATGCATGCAATGCTGTGTGCAGTTAAGTCATGAAGTTACCAAAAATGCGATTAAAGCGTCTTAAAACTGTGCATGCATGTAATATATTTTATATGAGTCACATTCAAGAACATGTCTCTGAAATGGTTTTCAAAACTGTCCTGAAGCAGCCCAGCACTGTCTCACTCATCTAACACACCTGATTTAACTCGACAGCTCATTATTAGAGACTTTAAGACCTGAAGTGGGTCAGAAAAGGTCAAAAGAGTTGAAAGAACATATGATGCGTGTCAGATCCACGTCACGTTCAGCAGCGGCAGCTCTTAAAGAAATAGCAGCCAAAACAACCTAATATCCAGCTGCTGTGATGTCTGTTAATCAAAGGACAAGGAATAAAGAACTTTTATAGCTTTAAGGATTCACCTATATTTATTTAGAATTTAGTGTTTGATAACTTCAATTTCAATTTCTGTATATTTCTGCTGAAGGGCACAGGTAAAAATGACATTTATTATAATGGGGTTATGTGAAGATTGTTTTAAATTCACTTAAATTAGAAGTTATTTTTTAAAAAGTCTAATAAATGTTAAAATGTATTAATTATAAACTTAATTATAATGTAATGTTGAATGGCTATAGTCAATGCATACATATTGGGGGGGGGGGGGGGGGGTTGTTTTTATGAATGATATTGAACACAATACTACATTGCG